ATTTTATGTAATTATTATTATTTAAAAAAAAGATCATAGATTTTTATAAAAAATAAATATTTTTAATTAAAATATTTTTTTTTTTTATTAGATTTATAATAAGAAAAAATATTGTGTATTTTATTAATTCAGAAATAAAATATTTTTTTTTTTTTTCTCAAATATAATATTTTATTAAATCTAATTATTTATTTATATACATATTTTAGTTTTTTTTCTAAAGTTTGATTTTAACTTTTTGAAAACATATTATATTTTGAAGATTTTGTATTATATTTCTTTGAAAAAAATATATTACATAAATATAAAATATTTTTTTAAGATTCATATTATTTTATAATAAATCTATTTAAAATTTTATATTATTTTTTTATAAAAACCATATATTATTAATAAAATAATTTTTTTATAACAATAAATGCATAGCTTTTGAACCTTAAAATTAATAGGTTCTAAAATTCTTTCATTAATATAAATATATACTTTGTTTCTATATTATAATATTATAACTATCCATAAATAATTAATAATTTATGGTATTATTTTTATGCTTTGTAAAAGGCGTCAATTATGTTATTTTTATGAATGATGACTATGTTAATGTTAATGTTTTAAATTTGATTTTTTTTAAGATTTAACTTAAGCTTTTATTTTTAATAAATAAACAAAAAAATATATAAAAAAATAATACCTAATTTAAGAGTCGAACAACCTTAAATTTTCTTTTTAATTTATTTAACTTTTTATTTAAGTGAATTTTGAATAGAATCGTAATTTTTGTAATAAAATTCAACATCTTCATATAAACTATATAAATTATTCATAATTACTTCTCCTTATTATTATTTATTATCACTTTAACCAGGAATTTAGATATTAGAATAATCTTTTTAAAAATAAATATTATCTCCATTGATTAAACTAGAAAGAGCATCTTACATTTTTTATATAGATTATTATAATTATTTGTATTCTTTATTTAATTCAACCTTAGTTTTTGTTAGTATTATATCGATTGATGTTTAATAAGCCAATAATTCATTAATATCTTTGCATTACTTTAAATTATAATTATAATCTAAAGCTTCTTATACAGAAATACAATAAGATAACGAAATATTTATAGTTAAGAGTATAAATATTTAAAAAGTGAATTTCATATATTATTTTTATTAAAATTTTTTTTTATTATTTGTTTTTGCTTTTTAAAAATTAGTTTTTTAATTGTATTTATAAAATATAATTTCTTTAAAACGATAAAAAGTAAAAACGAAAAAAAAAATATTTAAAAACAAAATAAATAATGTTTAAACATAAATATTATAATTTTTAAATTTATAATAATTAAATATTAATTTATTATTTTAATAGTATTAAAAATTATTCATTTTTCTTTTCTTAAATAAAAAATAAAGAAATGTGAAAATATATAAAATATGAATGAAAAAAATCGATTAAGAAAATTATAGATTATTTTAAGAACGAAATATTTGCTTTCTTATATTTTATTATTAAATATCTAAATACATATAAATTTTTATTAATATAAAAATATTTAATACTCATTTATTAACTTTTTTATTTTAATTTTTAATTCTTTAATAATGAAAAAAAATATTCATAAAATTTAAATAAATTTAAAAAATAAAAATATTTACAATAGTATTTAATTTATAAAAATAAATATATATATAAAAAATATTATATATATATATATGTATATATATTTTTATATATATATATTTCTTTTCCATAAAAAATATTAATTTTTAAAATTAATATATTAAAAATAATTACAAATTTTATATTTTTGTATATAATAATAATTATTATTTTTATATATAATTATGATTTTGTGATAAGCTTCTATTTTTTATTTATATTATTATAATTTTTTTTAATTAATATTTATTTAATATAATACTTTTTAAATAAAATAATAAATCCTTGAAATTATTAATTTATAAAAATTAAAAAAAAAAATTATTTACTTATTTGCAAGTATATAATAATCAATTCTTAAACTATTTTAGCTTTATACATTTACTATATTAAAAATTTTATTTATATCTTTCTTTTGAAAATAAAATATTATATTTAATATATATTTTCTATTTCTTATTTTCTTTTTCCTAAATTAAGAATTCAATATACTATATAAGTAATGAATTCTTTATATCAATCTAATTAATTTAATAAGTTAAAATTTATTCAGTAATTAAACTAATATTTAAATAATATAAAGAAAAAAATTGTATTACAATTGCAATATAATATCAGAATGCAACATAAATAATTTGTATATATTTATATTTTCTTTTTGCCATATTTTTAGGCTAGTATTTCTACAAATAATTATACACTGCTATCGCAATTTATAGTATAATACTTATTAAATTAAATATATGGATAATTATTGATTATCCCAATTAATATTTTTTATAAATTTTATACTTCTACTATATTGTTAGATAATGTAAAATTTTAGGATATTAAAAATTAATAATCTGCTTTTCTTCGGGATTTTGTTTTTGTTATGTCTTTTTTTTATTTTTAATAATAAAACAAAAATTTTGCTTTTTTTATTTATTGTTTAGTTCATTTTATAATATTCTTAAAAAGAATTTTATTATATTTTTATTCTTTTAAATAAGTAAATAATTATATTTTTTGCTCTGCTTAAATTTAGTGTTTAATGAAATCAATAAAAGATTAAATATATATATCATTATTAAAATTTTTTTTTTTTTTAAATAAATATTAAAATCTTTAACTAAAATTACGTTTTTATTAATATTATTTTGAAATAAATTAAATATTATTAATTATTTATATATTTAAAAAAATTTAGCCTAAAGAAAAAATAAATAAAATTATTTATTTAATTTATTATATATAAAAATAAAAAATCTAAATAAAACTAATTGTATAATTGTATAATTTTATATTTATAATTTTTTAGATAATATATTTATAGATTATAATATTTAATTTTTAATACATTACAAAAGTATATATGAATTAAATAAATTCTTTTTATAATCAATTTTATTAATTAATTGTTTATAATTTTCTATTTTTTTTGTTTTATAAAAAATTAATCTAATAAACTTAAGTTTCAAAAAAAATAAAAATAAAATTAAAAAATATGTTTAAATTTATTATATATTTTATTATTATATTTTTCATTTTTGATTATTTTTATAAATTCTAAGTTAATGTTTTAATTAATTAACTTCATTAAGTAAATTTTATTTTTCTTATATCCAATTTTTTTATTACTAATTATATGACTCCAAAATACGTTTACTTCTCTTCAAAATATTTTCCAATTCATATTTTTAAGACTAAACATCCCTACTACTATTATTTTTTATGAAATTTTACTATTTCAACAACTCTTAATCCTAAAATATCGGAAAAACGAAATGTTTATTTCCTTATTTCTCACTTTTCATGCTTAAAGCCTATTATTCTTACTAAAAAATATTTCCTTTATCACCTTACTTTTATAAATATTACATAATTTACTCCTAATATTTTGGAGAAAGACATTTAATAGTTGAAGAAGGAGACTTAGCAAAACTGGATGTGGGAAATTTTTGTAAAAAATAAGGTTAAGATTTTTACAAATTATTATTTTATGTAAGTTTATTATTATTAGTCGAAATGCAATTATTTTAGGATTAAACATGTTTAATAATATTATTTTAGTTATAAGTTTTTTAAATATCTATAGTATTTATAGTTAGTTATTTAAAGCTTTTATTTTTTGAAGAAGTGTTTTTTTATACATAATTTAATATATAATTATCATTTTCATTATTAGTGCTTTTTTTTCTTAAATTATCGAATTTTGAAAAGTATTAATTGTTTTCTAAAAGTTATTTATTTTAGATCATTTTGTTTATTTGTTCTTGGATTTGTGAATATTTTTGTATATTTTTTGGACTTATTTATTTGTAATTTTCTTTGTTTTAATGAGAAAGGGAATTCGAATGCGTTTGTTTTTGATCATTTTAAGTTTATTTCTTTTTTTGGTTTTTAGTAGAAGGGGATTATGATTGCTATTTATTATTTTCTTATTAGAAAAATTTTTAAAGTTTTGGATGATTTTGCTTTTTTTATATTTCTTCACTATTTTTAACATTACTTTTTTATTTTAGCAGTATGTTTTTGATGTTAGGTTGCATTTTTTTTAATATTACTGTTTTTAAGCTATTTTTTTTAAAAAAAAAACTATGTAATGTATTTTTTTTTATAATTTATAAATAATGAATACTAAATTTCATATATAACTTATATATATTTGAATGAATAATTAAAATACTAATATTAAATTTACTTTCAAATTATTTTTAATTTTTATAAAAATGAAAATTTTAAATATAAATAAATTAATTATAAAGGAGATAGTTTAACATAATTTTTTTTATTTATTTTTTAAATTTTTTTCAAATTTTATAATTATATAAATAAAAAAAATAATATAGTTTTTTTAATAAATAATACTGCAAGAATATTTATAAAAAATATTTCATAAAATATTAAAAATATATATAAATAAAATTATATATGTTTTCTCTATATATTATTATTATTTCTGTATTAATCTCAATTTTTATTCTATTTTTTATCTTAAAAAAAAAGGATTTAAAATGTAATTAAAAAATATAATATTACCATATTTTTATTTTTAAATAAATTCATTATCTTATCCCATCTTAAAATTATTATTTTAATATAAAGTATTTCCTTGTAGTTAAAATCCTTTTGTAAAAACTGAATTTTAATTTCTTTTTTTATTTTATAAAAAAAACTATTTATTTTATTTTATTTTTTACTAATTTTATGCATTTCCAATCTAAATATTATTCATGAAATTTTAAGAAAGTAACTAATTTTACTAGAATTAATTTAAGTTAATATTATTTAAATCTTTCATAAAGTTATTCTATTTATTATTATAACAAAAAATTATTAAAAAATAATTTATTTACTGGTCCTATTGGATTTTAAGCCTATAATAATTCTTATTAATTATTTTAAATATAAGGATTTTATTTCACGTCTTCTTTAGGAACAACATCAATTAAAAAATCAAAAATTTCTGTATTATATATACATGCGGCTATATCATTTTTCTATTTTTTTTTTTTAAAAAAAAAGAATTAATTGTTTAGGGGTTTTTTATTTTTTCTTTAATTTTTTTTAACTACCCAATTAATAAAAAAAAAAAGGCAAGAAAAAATGGATAATTAATTGCCTTTTACTGTTATTAATTAAGTTTTTAAAATAATAAATAACAAAAAAAATTAAAAAACATCAAAACAATATTTTATATATAACCTATAAAGTTCTTCTTTTTCCTTCCTCTGTAAATAACCAAGCCCTATGAGTTAATTCAATAATAAATATTTCACATGCCTTTGCAAATAAAACTGGGGCTTCTGCACTTATCATTCTTACGTCTTCATCAGATTTCATTATTTTTTTAACTCTAGCTAATGGAAGTTAGTGTCCTCTAAAAACTTCCAGATCTTTTTTTTTATTAATATATATATATATATATATATATATTTTTTTTCATTTAACCTTTTCCCATATGACTTATTTCTTCTTTTAATTCAGCAAATTTTTCTTTTAGTTTTTTTAAATATTCTTATTATATTTAATCCTTTTATTTTATTTTATATTTTATATAATTTTTTTTTACAAATGAATAATTATCAGCCATTTCTTGAGTTTTATTTAAATTAGTTGTAAAATTCTAATTTTAATTATTTAAAAGTATTTAATTAATATTAAATTAATTGTTTTACCTAAATATTATAAATTAATTTTGCATTAATAATATTTTTATTTACATTTTTTTTTTTCTTATCGAATTTTATTTTTTATTTTTTTATACAAATTTAAACCAAAAAATTTTTGTTTAAAAAATAACATGATATAAAATAAAATAAATTTTTTATTTTTTATACTTTTAAACATAATTATATGAAAATTATTAATAATATATTTTTTAATAAAATAAAAAATATTAATATAATTTTCTTATATTTTTAAAATATAAAAATTAATAGAAAAGCTCTTATTTAATTATCTTATTTTTACAAACAAACAAAAATTAATTCAATAATCTTTTATATATACATTAAATTGAAGTGATAAACTCGCATCCGGAATTTTCAATAATATATCATCTTCTAATGATATAAATAAAGTTTTAATTTTCTACCTATAAACTGGAATTAGAAATTATTATAATAATCCTAAAATTTAGGTTTTTAATTATTATTTTTATAATGTTTTTCAATATTTTTAATATTAATAGTTGATTTTGTATTAGATTAAATTTTGTTTTATTCAGAATTTTTAGTATATTAACTTCATTTATTTTCTTAAATATTATTAAATTATTTAGCTAATTAGCTAAAAACTATTTTTTTTTTTTATGAATTTGATTAATTTCAAATTTAATATCTTTATTAAAGTTTACTTAAAAAATAATATAAATTAAATTTCTTTATTTATAAAGATTAGATTTTCTAATCTTTCAATATAAATATTTTTACTTTTCCAACTTTTTATTTTTTTTTAAAAAGCTATTTGATAAACTATCTGAAAAAAAAAAAACTTTTTATCCTTTAATATATTTTTTTATTATTAAATTTCTATATCTTTATAATTTTTAATATCTAAAAATAATTTTTAAATTTTATTTTTTTGTTAAATTTAAGTATAATTTTTCTCTAAAGGTTTTTGTGATTGAATTTTTTTATATTCTTTTATTTTTTATTTGAATTTATTTAAATTTGCTTTTCATAAATAATATATTTATTTTAGAAATAATTATTAGTCTTTAAAAATTTTTAAATATTTTTGTTTTATAGGTTTATCTTAAAAAATAAATTTATTTTATTTAATTTTTTTCTGTAAACTTTAAATAAAATAAAATATGCTTTAAATATATCAATTTAATAGTTATATTAAAAAAAATAATAAAACTATAATTACTTATGATTTTTAAATATAAAAATAAAAATCCATTTAACTTCGAAATATAAGTTTTTTTTATTATTTAAAAAAAAGAAAAATAAACTTATTGAAATAATAATATATATAAAAATATTATAGATAATAAAAATAATTAATCAATAAGATTAAAAAAAAATCATTAAAAAAGACTTAATTAACAAAAAAAAGAGTATAAAAATAAATAAAAATAATTTCTCATTAAACTGATTTTTTCCAATCGTTATAAATTTTCGACTACAAGATTTATTCTGTATTCTGTCTATCTTTAGGTAATTTATTAGTCATATTCAAAATTAATTTACAGGCATATTTATATTCTTTATACAATTCATTAGGTAATTATCTCTTTTCTTTAAGTTAATTTACAGTTATCAATCTTTCATGATAAGTTTACATTTTATAAATAATTTCTAACAGAATAATTCCTAAAGAATATACATCTATCTTTTCATCATAATATCCTGTCATATTTTATTATTCAGGAGGCATATAAAAAGGAGTTCCAACATTTCCTGTATGTATATTACTCAAAGAGTTTTATTTATTTAATTCAGGTAAATGCTACTCATTATAATTTTCTTAATGTATTTTTCTTTTTTTTATATGGATAACCCAAAATCTCCTATTTTTATTATTCTATTTTATAGTAATATATTTGAAGGCCTAATTTAAAAATTTTAATATAAAATATATATATATATAATATAAAAAAAAAAATTTACTTCAAATCTCTATGTATAAAACCACTTTTGTGCAAATAATTGACTCCTTCTAGTATTTAAGAAAATAAAAAAAAGCTTCTTTTGAAGTCATTTTTACTTTTGATTCTTCAAAATAATTTCTTAATGTTTTTCCAGAACAATATTCAAACTATATTTGAAAAAAAGAAATAATAAAATAAAAATTTATATAAGTACTTATATAAATAATGCTAAAATTTTGGATTATTTTGTTATATGAATAGCGCTGTATTTACTTTATTATTATTCTTAATAGTAATATTAATCTTAAGAATCCGATTCCATTTTAGTAATTTTATCAATTAATTATGAGTTACTCTAACTTTCATTTAAATTGTTTTTATTTTCATTAGTTTATTCCCATTCAATGCAAGAAACCTGGACACTTTCATTATAATTATTCGATGTTTTTTCATTACTAATCTAATAATGATGATTACTTTTATTATTATTAACCTAAGCTTCAAAACTACTTGCATTACTAATATTTTAATTTTAAATAAAAAGTTATAATTGATTCATCATATCATCATCACATTCTTCCCACCAACTTGTATTATAACTAAAAAAAAATATACATAAATAAATATATATTTAAATTCTAAAAAAATAAAAATAAATACCTAACAATATTTGGATGATTAAGACTGTTCATACTTTTTACTTCTCTATAATATTTATGTTCTGTTGGATTTTAACCAGGTTCAAAAGGTACTGCAATTTATTTAATTGCATATATTTTTTATTCAACTTTACACATAGCTTTATATACTCTACCAAAACCTCCTCTTCCTAATTCTTCAATTACTTCAAAGAACTTTTTAAATTTTCCAGTATCTAAATATTGTTAATGTGACGAAACATCAAACAATGGTATAATTTAAGTGAGAATATTTTACTATTAAAAATTAAAATTAGGATTAATAATCTATTATTAAACTAACTATTAATCAATAAGTATCATTTTTTGATTACAATTATAATTTCTCACCGACTATAATTTAAGCCCTTTTATTTACTACTACAAATACCCTTTTTTCTTCAAATCTTTAATTGGAAACTATTCTGCAAAAGAAACTTTATATTATTAAATTTCCTATATAACTTCTTCTGTTTATTAATAATCAACGATTATTTATTTCGTTTCTATTTTTCTAAAAATCCCATTTTTATGATCTTCTTCAAATTCTATTTTCAAATCAGCCTTTTTTTAAATTGGCTAAGCTTTAAATCTGCATTATTCTTTAAAAAGTTCTTCTTCACTTTCATCTGTTAATTATTATCCAGGTAAATCTAAAATATTACAAGTATTTTTTTTAGTAATTAAATTGTTTTCCTATATTTTTCCATTATTATATGGTATTATCTACATCTCCTTAGATTAAGAATTACCACTTTCAATTGAAGTTTACTCATTTGGATTCTCGCTTTCAGTTTTTCTACTTAAATCCTCTTTGTATATTTTTTTCTTGGTTTTTAAATCTTGTTTATTTCCTTCAGTTGAAATATCAGAATTTGTCACTGATTTATCTTAATTTGATGATATTTCTGAAAAATAATCTTAATGTCTTGTTTTTTCAGAGCTTTCTTATATGTTTTCTCTATTCTTTTTTATTTAACTAGATTCTAGGTTTATTTTTGTACCTTTTTTTAAACCAAGACTGTATGCTAAGTATATTAAAAATATGGCTATTATATTCTGCTTTGTTATTATATAATTTAAAATATTTTCTTATGAAAATTATTCAAATAATTAATTAAATAAAGAAAATAATATATTCATTTTATTTTCTTTTTTAATAATTAAATTGTATATATATATATTTATTTTTATATATTTTCTTTTTTTAAATTTCCCTTTATAATTTTTTAGTGTTTGATTAATTTTTTTTTTTTTTTGAAGTTTATATATGTATAAATTATAATATTTTAGATGGTTTTATTATATGCATTAATATTGAATTTCATTGTATACAGTTAAATAAATAATTCATATTTATAATATATTATATTTAAGTTTATATCATTTTAAATGAAACGTGTGATCGTTTAATTTATATATAAAAGAATAATAGAATAATTAATTAAATAAAACTTTTAGCAAAATAAATACCTATTATTATTTCTTAATTTTCTAGAAAGCAAAAACTATATTCTTTTTTTTTTATTAAATTCTTATATTTTTGATATTTAAATAATTATCAAATTTATAATATTAATTTTTTTGAAAAAAAAAATATAATTGTGTAGATATATTTTTTTATTAAAAAGTTAAGAATAATCTAGAATAAAAAAAAAATGAATGACATAAATATAATCTAATAATTATTTAAAATTAAATTATTTAACAAAAGAATAAATCTATTTATATAAAATAAAATATTTCATATTATTTTTTATATAAATTATATAATATAAAATATAAACTAATAATACATAATAAAAAAACTAATAAAAAATTTATTTAGTAATATATATATATATACATATATATAAAAAATCTTATTAATCTTTAATTTGAAAATTAATTTATTTTTCTAATATTAAACAAATAATATATTTAAAATATAGTTAAATAATTAATAAATATTTATTTTTTATATATAAAATTTAAAATGATATAAAATATAAAAAATTAATTAAATTTTAATGAATAATAAAAAAATTAATATTATACTTTATAAATATATAATTTATATTATATATTTAATAATAATAATATTTAATTGAATATTTAATATTTTTTTTTATATATTATATATAAAAATATATATTTTAAATAAAAAATATATATTATTTGTGTCTCATAAAAAAAAAATGAGTAAAAAATTCACAAAGACAATTACAAACCCATTAACGACTATTTTTGGTTTTTTACAAAAATCTGTACGTGTCTAAATATGGTTGTATGAGAATACTGACTTAAAACTTGAAGGAAAAATTGTTGTAATAGTGCAAAATATAAATATGCACAATAAAAAAAAAAAAAAAAAAAAAAGGGCTTTGATGAATATATGAATATGGTTATTGATGAAGCAATTGAAGTGTATTTTTTAATATGAAAAATAAAACATTTTTTATATTTTTTAAATATAGTGATACAAAAGCGAACTAAAAAAAGACTTAGGAAAAATACTGCTTAAAGGAGAGAACATTTGCTTAATAAGGAATCTGGAGTAAATTAAGAAATAAACTTAGTTACATTTATTTATATTTATTTTTTATTAGTGAAGTTGTCATGTGAATTTTGTTTATATATATTATATATAAAGTGGATATTTATATTTTCTTCTTTTGTCAAAAATTTGAATTATTTCTAAAATTAAATCTTTAAAATAAATTTATTATTGGATACACATATAATTTAAATTATTTTTATATTTAAAAATAAATATAATTTATTAATAATCATATAAACTATAATTAAACAAAAAACAATGTTTGAATAATTTTTATTTTATAAATTAAAATTTATTATAAAATATAATATAATATATGTTTACATTTCTTCTTTTGTTCTTTTTAAGTAAAAAATACAATTCTTTTGTAAATAATTAAACATATTTTATTTTTTTTAAATATAAAATTATAAAAATAAACTTATATTTTACTTTTATTTATTAATAAAAGTATTTAATTTTTTTTTTTTGAAAAAAATGAAGAAATTATTATCATTATTTTCTTAAAACTCGGTATTTTAAACATTAAAAAAAAAACTAAATTCTTTCCACAAAAACTCACTAAAACTGAAAAATAACATTACAAAAAAATTCTCAAAAGCAAACCTTATTTAAATACTGAAGTTCCATTAAAACATCATCAATACCCCGAAGAAAATTTTTTAGAATTTAAAAGCATTCAAAAAGAATATAAAAATGATATAAACGAATACAAACTACATACATATAGATACAAATCTAAAGTTTAGCCCCCTAAAGCAATTTGTTTAGTATTTCACGGCATGAATTGGCATTCGGGACTTTAAGCACACATAGCAGAACATTTATCATCATAAAATATTGAAGTATGTGCATTTGATTTTAAAGGACATGGAAAAAGCTAAGGCTTAATAGGATATATACATGACATTTAATTACATATAAAAGACGCAGAGAACTTTGTAAACAATATTAAAGAAATGTATCCAGAAAAGCCTTTATTTTTATGCGGATTTTCTTTAGGAGGACTCACTGCATTCGATTTAGGCTTAAAAAACGAAAAAAATTTCAAAGGAATTATATTTCTTGCACCAGCTTTAAAAAATCATCCTTTTAATTTTAAAAGATCTATTTTTTTTGTGAAAAATTTAGCAAAAATTTATCCAAAAATAAAAGTAATTTTTTTTTTTTTTTTTTATAATTTAAAAAAAGGTAACACCTGATAATAGAAAAAGTTTTAGTACACATAGAAATATTAATGTATATAATTTATTATACAAAGAAGGTTCTTTATATAATAATTAAGGATTACGGGCAGGAACTATAAAAAATATAGTTGAATATATGAATTATTGTTAAGATTATTTAAAAGATTTTAAAGTTCCTTTTATTGTATTTTAAGGAGGAATGGATAAATTAGTAGATCCTTAAGTGGGGAATATTTTAATTTAAAAATGTGGGAGTATTGATAAAGAAATTATTTTTAAATAAGAAATGTGGCATGGGATTCCTTTAGAACCGGAAATTCAGGAATACAAATTTATTATTTCTGAATGGATTTTGAAAAGAATTTGAGTTTAATTTTTACTATCAGAATATATATATATATATATATATATTAATTAAACTATAAACAAACAAAAAAGAATAAACGTAAAGAATAGAAATAAGTAAGGGTTATTAAATTATATATTATAAATAAAATAGTATGTATATACATAACATAATATTATTTAAAATAAATACTCTATTTTTATTTTTAATAAACTATATAATTTTATTATATTTAGTAAAATATTTATTGATTTTATAATTTGTATATAAAAATATGTTTTTTATATAAAATATAGAATTAATCGTGGAATATAAAAAGTGAAATTTCATCATATTATATAATTAAAAAAATATTTTTGTAAGCTTAATAATATAAATATTTAATAACAAATAACTAGACTTAATAATAATATATATTAATACTTTAATATTTTAGTTTATTATTTTTTAGTTAATTCAAGACCAAGATTAATAGTATAAAAGAGCAAATACTAACTTACATAAATATTAAATATCATTTATTTTATCCATTATTATCTTTATTTTATTGAATTTCATTTATTACTGTCTTAATTTATAGTTGTATTTATTGCATTTTTAAATTAATTATTAAATAGTTTTTATATTGGTATTAATTATTAGTAATATTCTATTGATTTAAACAATATTAAAACAAGAATTTGTTAGAAGCATTTTAGATTACTATGTATGTAATAAAATTTATTTTAAGCCTTGAGTCGCATTTACTTTATCATCTATTATTTATCTTAAATCAAATTTAAATATGTTATTCTAATTTTATAGTAATCAAAAAAGTATTCAGTGTATTTCTATTAATATTTTAAATCTTCTATTCGAATTATTAATATGGTTGAAGAAATTCAATTATTTAAAAAATTATTGGAGTTATTCTTATATATTCAGCAACTATTTATAAAGGATCTAATACGGTTATATGAAATTCATATTCGCAATAAGTTCATTTATAAAAAACCATTTATAGCCATTTTAATGATTTTTAAATAGTTATATAAAAATATGACTTAGGTTACTTTAAATTTTCTAAAATTTTCAATAGAAAAATAATTTAATTAAGAATATTATAATCAACTATTTCTTAGAAGATTTATCATAATTTTACGAATTCATATAATATAATTATTATAAGTTTTTTTTTACTAAGTTTATAAATATTTTGTGGTTTTAAATTTTATATATATTTATTATTTTTAATAAAAATGTTTTAATAATTAATTATATTATTTTATATAATTTTAAATAAATAAATAAGTATTTTTTAAATTATATATATTTATATATATAATTTATAAATTTGATTTTTAACTTAAATTTTTAGTTTTAAAAGCATTAAAAATTAAAAAACAAATTATTAGAATCAAAAAATATTATTATTAAAGGTAAATAAGCAAAAAATAATATTAAATAATATCTTATTTTATTTTTAAAATAATATTTATATTATTAATGTAGTAGAATAAATTTATTAAATATATAATATTAAAAATTTAAATTATGTTTAAATAAATTAATTTAATTAATATATTATATTTAATCTTATTAAAATTCTTTTAAGATATTAACATTTTTATTAATATAAAGATATAAAACAAATAATTTTTTTATATTTTTTATTAAATAAGAAACTAATATTAAATAATAGTAAAAAAATAAAAATAAAATAAAATTACAAATTAATAGTAAGATTAAAAAAGATAAATAAAATTATTTTTAATATTAAAAATTGAAATAAATTAGTATATATCAATAAATAAAATTTATTTGAATAAATAATATTTAAAATTTTCTAAATAATATTAAACAATATTTAATAATTTAATTCTTTTAAAAAAAATAATATCAAATCCATAAAAAAAAGAAAAATAAATAATTTCTCCGAAATTGTCTTAAATAAATAAAATAGACATAATTCAAATAATAATACACTAACAGAAAACTATAAAATAAGTAATAAAATAATTACTTAGTCATTTCATTTATTACTTTTCTCTATTTTTGTTTTAAACATTAAATCAAAAAAAAAACATTATTCATTTTTTTGTTAAATAGTTTAAAAAGACAATTCGGAAAAATTAAAATTAAATTTATAATATTCCATATAATTTACTTTAATAAATATATCAAAAAAATCATAAAAATAAAGAACTGTTAAGCCAATTTTATTGAAAAATGAGATAATTAGTTTGATTTTAAATAGCATGTTTAAAGCCAATATTATAAATGTTTATACAATGCATTTATTTAATTTTAAAAGAAATACTTGTATTAAATATAATTAATCGAATTTTATTATATAAGATAGCTATGAAAATAAAAAAAGACTAACAATTAATATATTTTAGATTTTAAAAGCAAATGCAATTATTTATTAAAGAAAATTCTTTTTTAAAAATAAAAAAAATACTGTTGACAATTTAAATAGACTAAATAAAATAATGCAAAAATAAAAAATTTAAAATAAAATAATAATATATATATTTATATGTATAAATATATATATGTATATATATATATATATATAATGCAATATATAATATTTTGTTTTATTTTAAAATTAAAATATTTAGACAATTAAAAAAAAAATGAAAAAGATAATTAGATAATTTAATATTTTAATATAAAATTTATATAATATATAATTATTTTTATAAAATATGCATAATATGTAGAATGATTAAATTTAAAAAAATAAAATAATTTTTTTTATTAATTAAATATATATATATATATCATTTAAAAAAAAAAAACAAAAATATTCTTAAAAATAAATAAATATGGAATTGGAAAACAACTACACATTTCTAAACAGTTATTTAAAAAAAGCCTAAGAAAAAAAAAATTATTCAAGTATAATTGGTTTAAAATAAATAATAAATCCAAAAAATAATAAAGAAAATAAAATGAATAATATTTCCAAAAAAATCTCAAATAATAATAGTACATATAATTCAAATACTAATATAATAAACGAAAGTCACAAAATATATAACTGTAATGACTCTAAAATTATAGATTTAAACCAATATAAGCAAAAAATTTAAAAACTAAACCATTCAACAGCCAAATTTGCATCCGTAAAGCCCTAAAATTGAACCTAAAAGCCTTTGGCTTACAATTATATAGATAAATAAAGCCATTTAAATCAAATAAATTTAATTAAATATAATATTACATTAGAAAAAAGGAAAAAAAATAAATAAAATAAGGCTTTTAGTTAAAATAATTCAGATCATAAGAGCAGTATTTTAACTTAAAACATCGATAAATTTCCTTTTTTCCTTTAAAAGTAAAAAAATACATCTCAAGAGAACAAAAACATACAAAAAATAATACAAAAACAGCTTATTCTTTCAACTTTTTCATATTCTCAAAAAAACATTTAAGAAAATTAAAAAAAAACAGGTTTAGTTTAAAAAACCCTCGAAAAAAACAATATTTCAAATAAAAAAATATGTAATAATACTCCTTTAAAAAATTAAGAAAATAATTCCATTTTATAAAATTTAATCTAAAATATAAATACTAAAGATTGTTTTTATTAAAAAAATAAAATAATTGAAATTTTTGAAAAAATGTCATTTTTTTTTCCTAAATATATATAATCTATTTAATAATTTTCTTTAAAAATTTAAGAAATATTTAAAAATATGGAAAATGAAAAAGAAATAACCCAATAAAAAATAAAAGAACTTGAGAAAAAAAAATAAACAATTACAAAAGAAACATAAACTGAAAAAAGAGAAAAAAAATAAAAAATTGCAAATGATATTATTACTATTTGTGATTAAAACGGAAATATTTAATCAATAGAAACTTTCCGTGAAAACGAATTGTTAAGAGAATTTATATTAGAATAATAAAACTAATTAAATTAAATGAAAGACAAAGAAAAATAAACACTTAAATTATTATTATTATTAAAATAATAAGGAGTTTAAATCGATGAAATTTATAATAAAAATATTGCCAATGTAAATTCTGATTCAGAAGAAATTATTCCTTAAATTTTTCCATAAGGAAAAAAAAAAAAATAAAAAATTAAATTTAATAAATAATAAATTATTGAACTTTAATAAATACTTATATAAGATGCAGATGATTCAGGTAATAATTTTTTATTTATAATTTATATATATATATATATATATATATATATATATATATATATATTAAAATATAAGTTATAAATGATTCGGATGAAAGTTCTTTTGGTTTTTATGGTAAACCCACTTAAAGATCCGAGAGTATAAAAATGCTAGAATTTGTGAAAAACTACAATAAATAATTTGCTTAAAAAAATATATAAAACTTACCGACAAATATTAAAAATAAATTATAACTTGATTTATAAAATATTCCTGTATAAGAATCAGAAGAATTACAATGTGATATTTTGGCAAAACTAAAAATTACTTAATAATAATTAAATAAATTATAAAAATAACTCAATAGAGATCCTTCTAAATTAACACAATAATAACTAAATATTATTGAAAAATTATAAGATATTTAAGGAATTAATTTTATTAATTCTGAAAGTGAAATATTATAAACCAATAATAGTATTTTACCTTCAGAATTAAAAAGAGAATTAAATTTATACCATGAAGAAATATGAAAAAATAAAAAATTCATATATAAAAATAAATAAATTAACAATATATATATATTAAAAAAAGTAAAAATATATATACATATGTAATCCAAATATGTAAAAAAAAATATTTTAAAAATTAATTAATTATAATTATAAAACTTTTTAAAATTTCACGAATGGCAAAATTGATACATATAATTATTTACATAAAAAATCATGAAATCATATACTAAAAAAGGTATATTAATAAATTAAATAAAAATATAATCTAAATATTATTTTAAAAAGAAATATGTATGTATATATTTAAATATTATATATATTTATTAAATTTAAATTTATATTATCTTAAACCAAATGTTTATTTTTAATTTTTAAAAAATCATATTTTCTGTTAATTCAAATATTAATAAATAAAAAAAATATTAATAATAAATATATATGCATATAAACTTAAACTTTATTTTCTTAATTCAGTAATATAATTATACTAGATTTTCATATAATATTAACTTAGAAATATTTAAATTTAAGTAACTGAGTTCATAGAACATATGAATTAGAGTAATTATTAAATATATTTGGTTTTCTTTTTTATGATTATATTTTATATATTTATTGTTTAATATTTAATTAAATTCAATTTAAAATAAATTATAATAGGCAAATCAAATACTATATAAATCAGAATTTTATATTTCATTTCGTTAAGTAACACTTTTATATTTAAAATTATTATTGTAAAAATAAAGATTTTTTTAAAATATTTATATTTTATTAAATAATTAAAGATTATTCTGTTATAATTATATCCATTTTTAATATCAATAACTAATTGATAAAAATTTAATATATATTTATTTTTTAAAAGATAAAATTCAAAAAAAATCATCTTAGATTACTTATATTTATGAAAAATAATAATTTATATTTAAAATAAAATAAAAAAATCATATAAATAATATTTATAATATTAGAAATAAAAGATTAAAAATTTTAATAAAATAAAAAAATATATATAATAATATTAAAAATTTTATAAGATCAGAATTTTAATAAATATATTTTAAATATATTTATTTATGGACATATAATATTTTTTTTTAATATAAAGTTATATTTAATTAAATAAAAAAATAATTAAAGATATTTATAAATATTAATTTTATTACAAATGAATAATAAATAGTTAAAAATAAATAAATAAATATAGATATTGATATAGATATAGATATATATATATAAATATATATATATATATTAATATATTTATATATATTTATGTTTATATCTATATTATGTACCTTATTTTTATATTTATTATTTATTAAATAAAGATATATTTATTTTATTATATTTTCTTCTTCATTTATTAAATGTTTTCTTTTATATTCATAAATAATTTAATCTTTATTTTATTTTTTTAATTATTTTATGAAAAAGACAAAACTATTTTTGAATTAAATACTTTGAATTAATAAACTTTTAATATAAATTTATTTAAAAAAAATGAATATATCTAATACTTTATCTATAATTTTACTTTTATCTTTATGTAAATAATATATTATTATTGAAAATGCGACAATTAAAAATTAAAAACAAGCTTATATTATATATATATTTTATTATACAATTAATTTAAAAACGTAAAATGATTAATATTTTTTTTTTAAGAAAAAAATATAATAATTTTAATTATTTTTATTCCCATTAATTTACTATAAAATATTTTAAATTAAATGAAAATATATTTTTGATATTAATTAATTTTTTATTTCATTGAATTTTATTCATTTCAATTAATTCTTTTACTAAATGTTAATCTTCATCTTCTACACAATTTTATTTAATTTATTTTTATTCATCATCGTCATTATTTGCATATAAATATTTTTTTAATAATTCCTATTTCTTTTATTCTACATATTTTTCCTCTTCAGTCATATCTTCGATTTTTTTTTTAATTTTATTTTATTAATTTTACTATTCCTATTCCGTTTTATCTATATAAAAATTTTATAAAAAAAATCTATTAATAATTTTATTTAAAAAAATAAATAAAAAACTATAGTTTTCATCGTCTGAATCATCGTTAGCTTATATTTCAATTAATTATAAAATTTCCTCAATATCCGGATTATTGCTTTTACAATAATTTAAAATAAAATCTTAGTTTTGATTAATCCAATTTTATATTTCTTCTTTCTTCAACCTTTCCTCAACTATTTATTCACTTTTTAATAATTCCTGATTCTCATTTTCTTTTACTCCATAATAATCCTCCATATTTAACCCTCTGTAAATATCAATTAAACTTCTTTTAGGAGGCTCAGGTTTTTTCTTTTAAAATAATTCTCTTACTCCAGGTAAATCTTTTGCTGCCCCAAAATAATGATAATCTCCATGTCCTATTATAAACATGTATCATAAAATACTGAAAATATTTAGTAATATATACCTGGCAAAACATCTCCATCATCCTCAAACATCCTTTTAATTTATTATTTATAATCAGGACCACCTAATTCTTTAATTCTTTCCTCAAAGGAGCTTTTTTCTTTAATTAATTTATTTATTTCATCGTTTAGTTCTCTTATTTTATGTTCCCCTAAACCTGCATTTTATATAATACAAACTTTTTTATTTATTTCTTTCAAAATAGCGTTTCTTTAAAAATAAATATATATATATATATATAGGAAGAAAAAATATATATTAACCTAAACTTTTCGCAATCATTTATTCTTGGAATTTACATTATTTTATGGTGGGTTGTCGGGCGCTCCTTTGCAGGAGTCCTATTAAGATTTTTTCTCATATTCCACCATCTATTTAACATTGCTTGCGCTTTTTCCTCATTTCTGGCCATGTTTTTTATGATATATAAATTAAGTTATTTTTATATGTCTATTAAAAATAATAATTATATATATTTTTTTATTAAGAAAAAAAACAACTTTTTTTTTTATTTTAAATAGGAATATAATTTAATTTAAATTTTATTTATTTTCTTTTTTTTTTTTTTTAATAAAATAAAAATATTTAAAAAAATGTTACTAACATCTTTCTCGCCATAAAGAAATTATTCACAATTAGATCGTTCTTGTTTAAAAATTAAAAAAATTTAAAAAATTTAAAAAATATATATATTTAGTTATTTCTCCTTCTAAAATAAGACTTGGATAATTAAATGAAAGATTATCAAATATACAACTTCAATTTGATGAATCAAATATAGTATTTCCAAAAAAAGCAAAAAATATTATATTTTCAAATAAAAAAAGATTAAAAAAGAAGTTTATGAAGGAAAAATAAAAACTTTAAAGGATAAAATTACCAAAAATGTTAATGAAGACGAATAAAAATTTAAAGTAAAATAATATTAATTGAAAAAATTTAAATTAAAAAAAGTACTTATAAGAATAAATATTAAAAATATAAGACGGTTTAAATTCAGAAAAAGTAGAAAAAGATGTAAAAAAATAAAAATAAATTATTATATTAAAAATGTTTTAAAATAAATATACATTTTATTTTAATTAAAAATAATAAATAAATATATACATTTATATATATATATATATATATATGCATATATATTTTATAGACTGTAATTGAAAAAAGGTTAAAAGATTTTAAAGATATTGAATAAAAGATAAATTCAGAAATCAGCAAGGAAAAACAATTAAAAAAAGATTCTGAACAAAAAATTTTAAAATCTGTAGATGAAAGAATTTATTAGATGAGAGTAGATTTAGGAAAAGATAAAAGACTTAGAGAAGAATTCGAAGAAAGAACTTAATAAGAAGTTGGAGATGAAATACTATAGCTTTAAGACGAAATCGAATAGGAAAGAAAAATAAGGTAATTTTTAAATTAAAATTTTAATTTATTTTAAATAAAATTTAATATAAAAGAGAAGATGGAAATTAATAATTAATTAATAAACTTGGTGATGAAATTTCAAGATTTTAAGAGATTTTATTAACTGAAAAAAAATAAAGAGAAGAAACATAAAATATGATGTTTAAAATGTTAGAAGATATAAATAATAAGCTTTAATAAGATTTGAATGTAAAAAAATATTAATAATTAATATTATATTATATATTTTATTTTTAGAATGAAAAAAATGCTAGAGAAAACATAGAAGAAACCATTTTAAAATTATTAGAAGAAACCTGTACAAGAGTTGAGAATATTATTAAATTAAATTGAAATATATTTTTTTATTTATAAAATAAAAATTATCAATAATATATGAATGACATAAAATATAAACAAAATATTTTTTTATTTTTTTTTTCTCCCTTTTTCTATATGAAAATTAATAATTTAAAATTTAAAATATTATTTTTTTATTTATTCAATAAAAATATATTATATTTTGTAAAATAATAAAACAAAAAAATATTATTCCCGAAAATATATATATATATATATATATATATATATATATATATATATATATATATATTTAAAAAACAAAAGAAAATAATTTTTATATTTTTACATTTTTTTTGTTTTTTTGTTTTTTTTGTTTTTTTTGTTTTTTTAATAAAAGTTTTATATTAAATTATTTATTTTATTATATATTTAATTTACAAAGTAATATAAATATATATTTATTTTCAAATTCTATTATCTATTATTAAAAAAAAAATATAAAAAAAAATTAATTTTATAATATTACCTTTATCTTATTCAGATCTATTATATAAATTGTAAGATTTTAACAAATAATGGTTACAAATTTACACAAATTCATTTAAATTTTCATTATTTAACTCTTTTGCTGTAATTATTGCTTAATTATTTGATTATTTTGTTTAAATTTAACTATTAAGATCTTCTATTTATATTTCTTATAGATGTCCTTTTTCTTCAAATTTAATTTTGAAACATGCCAAAATACCAGAACCTTAGTAATCTGGGTTTTCTGTTTAATATGCTCCTTTTTAATTAACAAAAAAACTTATATTTTGATGCGCAATAATACTTTATAGATTTTTTAAATTCTCAGATAATTTTTCTTAATCAATTTTCAAAATTATAATTAAATGATCATCTAAATTACTAATTATTATTAACCTTTTTATTTTTTAATTATATAATGATATTTTATTTTTTTATTAATTTTTGTTGTTGTTTTAAAATTAAATAAAAAAAAAATGAAATATATATGCTATTAAAATAATATATGTATATTTTTACTTTTAAGAAGTATTTTCTGATTAAAAAATTCCTGTTCCATATTAGTTTTTAAAATTTTATTAAATATTTAAATCATATTCTTTAATTAATTCATTTATTTTTTTTGAATAATTAATATCAGAATAATTTATATAGTTTCCTTTAAAATTATCCTTTTTTTTACAAAAAAAAAATATATAGAACAAAAAATTAAAAAGCTTATATATTCATTTAATTTTATATAAAAAAAAAAAATGAGAAAAAGGAGAAAAAAGATTTTACTTTTTTAAAAAATATATCTTTGTTACTTTTAAATTTTTAATTATAAGATAAATTTTATCATCAATTTATTAAAAATTAGTTTATGTCATTTAAGGTTTTAAAGGAATATCTTAGAAATTTCTTCTTAATATAAAATAAGAATTATTTATTAAGTTTTTGCAATTGTACATTTAAAACACTAAATTTTCACTTCTTTTTATTAATTATTGTATTATATCATTCTTTTAAATATAATATGTTTAATCTTTTTATAATAAAGGAGTGTATTCATTAATTTCTGAACTTTCAGCAGTTTAAATATTTTATTCTTGATTTAAAATAAAATATTAAATAATAATATAAAATAAATATAATAAATTTTTAATTACTATTAGGCAATAATACTTTTTCGATTAAATCTTAATCTTTTTTAAATTCTGAAGTACTATTATAACTACTATCATCAAAAATTGTTATTTAAATATGATTATAATTATCAATTTAATCTTATAAGTATGTATTTTCTTATAATAAATTAGTATTTTTTTATGTATTGTAATTATTATATATATTATCATTAATATTATTATATACTTTATCTTGATTAATATTTTAAATATTATTTTTATTGCTATAATTATTATTATCATTATTATTATTATTATTATTATTATTATTATTATTATTATTATTGTTATTATTATTTTATATATTTTCTTCTATATTTTAAATTTTTAATTATTATTATTTATTTATGTTATATTTTTTTTTTTTCTTTTTTTATTGATTATCATTACTATTATTGCTTCGATTATTTTATATATTATTATTTTGATTTTTGTATTTATTATTATTTTAATTACTTTAAACACACATATTCTCTTCTTTTTAAACTATACGAAGTTATTACAATAATTTAGCTATATAGTAATCTAAAAAAACTTTCAATATAATTAAATAAAGACTAATAATTTAATCCATATGTTTTGACAAAGAAATTTAATATTTTTACGCATCCTTTTTATAATTTAAAATTAAAGTCTTATATATATAAAAAATTTACATTTTTAATATGTCTTATTTCTATGTATTTAAATTAACTTTTTTTAACATTTTATAAATTATATTTAAATTTCTACATAAATTATTAAGGTATTTTAATTCTTAATTTAAATTTTAAACCTAATCCTTGATATATAGGTTTTACAGTTGAAAACCCTTCTTTATTGCAAAATTAAAGGTTTATTATATTATCGATTTTTCAACTAACTTATACAATCAATTAAATTTTCCATAAAATTTTAATCTTAGTTTCCAACACATTTAATTTCAAAATGATCTTCTTTATTAATCCATATTAGATATCTTTTAATAATAAAATTACTTATAATTTATATAGTCTAAATACTTGTTATCATTTGATATTAATATAGATCTATGATTAGGCCAATTTTTAAATCTTAATCCGTTTTTATTATATAATTCTTAATTTTATTTAAAAAACTTTTAATTTTCTGAAACTAAATTAGAATTTTGAATATTGTCTAATGTTTATATACATAAATATAAAAAAATAAAATATATATATATATATATATATATATTATTTAAAAATAAATATATTTCTATACTTAAATAAAAAATATTTTAGCTAAAAATATCTTTTAAATTAAATTGAATGCAATTTATAATAGTTTACATTACATATTATCTTTGATTTTCACTAAGAGTACTATTAAAGCAAATTCCATGTAAATTTCTTTTAATTTTTATTTAAAAATCTTCCAAAAACTTAATGTTTTAATATTATTTAGGTTAAAAATTCAGTTTTTTTTCATATTCAAATGTTTTTTTTAAAGGGTACATTTCGCCAAAAAGGCCCATATGAACCTAATTATAAATTTATTTGAATGTATTTAGACAATCTGGGTCAACTGAAATAAGCCCGACTTTATATTTTTGATTTTCTAATGCAATTTAAATGATAATTTGTAAATTATTTTGGAAAGAAGTTTTTAAGTTTTTATATTAATAAAAATTCTCTAGAGTTAGAGCTTATTTAAATAAATTATTTGAACTTTAATCAAATTCTGGGTATATTATTTATTAATTTTATTGTGTTTTTTCTAAATCTTCGATAATTATTCCATGTTATTTTAAAGTTTATTATGGGATTTGATTTGCCAAATATTTTATCTGTATAAATTTTCAATATGTATTTTTTTTTTTTAAAAAAAAAAACAAAGAATTACCATCATTATTATAGGCTATTCAGGTCTGTTTTAAACAAGACTAAATAAAAGATCTTGAATTGTTTCTTCAATTTTATTTTCTTATATATATTGTTGGGCTTTTTGCTAATTTTCTGTTAATTTGTCCATATATTTTTTTATATTTTTAATTTTTTTAATTTTTTTTTTAAAAAAAAAAATAAAAATAATATTTTATATATAAATATATGTATATTTGTATTATTTTATATTTCTTGATTTTCTTTAATTTTCCATTTTCCATTTTTTGTTTATTTATTAAAAAGTAAAATTAATACATATTTCTTACAATTATTAAAAAATAGTAATAATTAAGAAAATAAAATTTAAATTATTAAAATATAAAAAAAAGTGTAAATTAATAAAATTGTTAAATATTCATAAAAGAAGATATAAAAGCATATAACTATTATTTTAAATGATAAATTTAAGTTAACTATATATATGAAAAAAAATTATTAAATATATAAAATATATTATATACAATAAATTTATTTAAAAATATAATTATAAATAATAAAAAGATATAATAATAATTTATTTAATATATTATAATATAAAAATTATCTTTAATAATAATATAATTTATTTTTAGATAATTATTCATTTTTATTTAAAATATATTAATTTAAATATATTCATGATTTATATTTTTGAAAATATCTTTAAACTAAATCTATTACATTATTACAATAGTAATAATATAAACAATATTATTTTTAAATATGAATTTTTTATAAATAATGTAATAAAAATATCATTTTTTTTTATAATTTTTTTTTTTTAAAAAAAAATTATTTAATTAAATTTATACTATAATAAATACAAAAAAATAAAATAAGGTTATTTAAATATTATATAATTGATTTTTATTATAAAAAATTTAGTTAAACATACACTTATAATATAAATATTTTTATTTTTTACATAATATATATTATTCATATTTTATTAATAATAAATATATATAAATATTTTTTATTATATATTATATTTTGTATATAATTTATTATTTTAAAATATTTAGTTATTAATTAAAAGTTATAATATAAGTTTATATTATTGAATTATATATTATTAAAAATTTCTATTTTATATAAAAAAAAAAAATAGTATATATATATATATTAAATAAATAATTTTTTTTTTTTATAAATTAAAAATTTATTTAATAATTATTAAATAATATAATATTTTTATAATTTTTGATTATTAATAAATAATTAATAACTTATTTTTATGTTTTTTTTAATTTATTTTTCTAATAAAATTAGAAAATTAAAATATAAAACATAATTATACAAATAATATATATATATATAATTCAAATCTTCTTTTAATAAAATAATATATAAGCTTAATCTGTGCATACATCTTTCTCATTAACTTATTTTACTTCCGAATCATTAAAAAGCCACCATTTGTCCTAATTAAATGCAAAAGCAGTATAATGGCCTCCATTAAGATTTCCTTAATGATTAATAACAGCATATAAATCATAAACTAGTTTATTTTTTTCCTAAAAAAGTTTATATTAAGGCTATATAATAATATCTTATCCTTAAAAGGGATATTAAGATGTATATTATTTTTAAACATAATCCTTTAAATCTAGATTTTATAAAGGAAAACTGATATATTTAGTAATTTTATCTTAATCAGTCTTAAATCTTTTTAGATGTAAAATTAAAACCTAAGGAGTTGTATATAGGTTGATTTGTTTAAATGCTTTTTAATTTTTCTAACAAAAAGCACAAAACCATAGATTAGATTCTTTTAATTCTTCTATTTATTAAAATTAAGAAAAACAATCATATATATTAATTTCTCTAGGTTTATATAATTAATTTTATTCTGAAATGATTTTCTGGTCGAAATCATCATTTAAAGGAAAGTCAATTTCTTTGATTTTTTCTATATTTATTTCGGTATTTTATTCTTCGAAAAAAATTTCTAATATTAAATTATTTTCATTTATACTTTTATTTTTTTCATAAATTTCCTTTAATTTTAAATTTTCGGAAAACTCTAAATCACAATTTTTACATGTAAATTAGCCACAAAAACTAAAAATAAATAAAATTTATTTTCATTTATATATATAAAAAAATTACAAACATTAAATTTAACTATAAAATCCTTTCGAATTTGTTTAAATTTTCAAAGAATAATATTTTTAAGGATTATTTAAGACTTTTTTTTCATAAAAATCAACTTATTTATCTTCGTTATTATCTAAAAAATTACTCATATACTCCCAAATCCTTAAATGGACTTCTTTAGTATTTAAATTCAAACCTAAATTAAATACACGAGGGTATGTAAATTAATTTTTTATATAACTATTAGTAGAATATAATTTATTCTTTTATTATTTTATATATGTCATTTTTATAAAAACAAGTATTTTTTAAATGTTATCTTCTTGGAAGTCTTAAATTTAATAAAGAACAAATTTATTACCCTAAACGGGTTTATTTTCTACAATTTAATCTAATAAAGTGTCATTTTTATCGAAAATTTATAATATTTCTTAATCACTTTTATTTATTTTTTTTTTTTTTTTTAGTTTTTTTTTACTTTAAATATACAAGTAAAAGCTCTTAAAAAAGAAATTAGTATTTTCTAGAAAAATAATTTTTTAAAGAAAATAATGTTTCTCCTTAAAAACTATAAAAAAGAAAACTTTCTTCCATATCTATCTTGTTAGAATCTTCAAAACAAATAGTAAAATCGATTTTGTTGCAATTAAATAAAGGAATAGGTAATGTACAATTCAAAAATTACTCAAAATTAATTGAAGAATAATTACAAACAGAACAATTTACTTTTGATTTATATTAACCTTACATTAAATCAATAATTATACTTTAATTTTTACTTAGATATTCCATTTAACTATTTAAAGCTAATAAATCTTCATTATTATTATTATTATTATTATTATTATTATTTATTATTAATATTATTATTATTTTTATTAACATTTTAATTATTTTATTGGCTTTAAATTCTATTAAGATCTTCATGTAAATAGTCTAATAAATATGATAGAAATTCCTTAATATATATATATACAAATATATATATTAATATATATAAATATATATATATATTTATTATATTTTTTTTATTTTTATAATTATATATTTAAATTATTAATTTTTATTATAATTTAATTATTTTACTTAAGAGTCATGTTATTAACTTCCTTAGAAAATTTTTTGTTTATCTTAAATTATTTCTTTTATATTTTTTGGTGAAATCACTTTATTATTTTCTACCCACATTTTTTATATTAATTTTAAGTATTTTTTTACCAAATAACATTTTGTCCCTAACGGATTATTTACATTTATATCATTTAAAAAATAATTATTTAAAAAATAATCTGTTAAAATATTTGTATTGCTCAAGCATTATAATGCACTATTAATATAACACGTATTTCCCAAATTTTATAAACCGCAAATTCCTTTAGATGAATTATCATTTATATCATATTTGTCATTATTTATTAATATAGGACATTAATGATTTATTTTATGTTCTTTTTTACATTCTTTAGAACAATATTACATAATTTAACATCTACATGACAACTTTAATTCTTTAAAATGCTAGCAAAAAGAACATTATTATCTTATTATAGCATTGTTTTCTTCAGGAAGATATAAAAGGAAAGGAAAAGAAAATTAATTTTTATTTTACTTTTATATTTCTATAACTAAAGTGTCATTATCTTCTAGAAAAATGTTTTAATTAAATTATTATTCGAGAGGAAACAGAGGAGAAGGAAATTTATAATCTTAAGAAACAGATTCATTAGATTTTAATTTCAAAAAATCAAAAAAATTTTACATAGTGTAATTTTTTAAAAATTTCCAAAGGCGAAAAAGTTCCAAATCATTAATTTTTTCTGATTAAAAACTTTATTTTTAATTAGATATTGATTTGTATTGAAAATCTTCATTTATAAAATTCTCTAAAATATATAATTTTAAAATATTTATTGATATTTCTTATTTTATTTAAATTTTTTTATAAATAATCTCATTTAAATATCCATAATCAATATCAACTATTAAATCATAATTTAAAAATAATAAATTAACCTTATTTATTTATATATTTATATATATATATATATATATATTTAATATTATATAATTTTTTATTTT